AACAAGAGGTATGAGCTTAATCTGTACCCAACCCATGGATTCACTCTTAAATGGGCCACAAGTGGTGTCACAACCAATACGAGTACTATTTGCCGGACAAATGCCAACTCAGACGGCGCTATATTCTACGCACAAATAGGTATTCATTAGTAATTTTAAGTTTAATTATGGTATATAATTTAATTAAATAATATACTAATCGTAACCTACAGTTAAATATTTGACAATAACTGTTATGAATGAATCAAACGTTGCATTGAATGCCGAAAATATAATCCCTTTATATATCGTCCAATACTTGAAGTTATTTGTTTTCTCATTAATTTGTGTCTTATTAATTTCAATATTATTTTTATCACAGGTATTGTTGATTTGGTATAAACTCTCACTTTTAATACTCCCATAAGATTTGGTTGTCTCTGCTGCTGGTTCCACAGTCATTGCAAATTAATTTATTATTTAATTATAAAAATATATTGCATATATTTTTTAGACACAATTTTAGCTCATTTTGTACTTGTTACAATAGATATAAATTATAAAGTTACTAATTTTTGTCATATAAATTATTAAATGAGAAATTGATTATTAACTACAAGGGTCTTTGTCTTTGTGTATATCACATTACATTAGCAGAATTTATTGACATCATACTATTCATTTATTATAAATATTGTGAAATATGAAATACATTTGCAATGAAATAATTGAAAGGATATTCACAAAATTGTGTTCACTTCAGAATGCTGTATAAAATTATCGGTGCGGAAAAGGTGTTTGTATCCCATTATAGTAATATACCATACACATGTGCTTTTATACCAGCAGTTTACACAATTAATTCATTTAATACAACAAAACTCTAGCTCCGATGTATTTAAACTCTAATTTATAAAATTAAATATTGCTATAATAACTACAGTATAGACTTGTCGACTAATTATCCCTTAAAGATTATAAATTATTTTTCGTTTTAAATTCTGACATATCATAGATTTTGTAGCAAATTAGTTAAAATTAAAAATGCTTAAATATTCACTATTAATAGCTGAGTTGTAAGCAATTGTTGAATATCATTCCGAAAGTGGTCTTTCCTTTAGATTGTGATCTAAATTATTGTACAATATATACAAATAAACGACAAACTTCTCATCGATTCCATGAAAAGCAAATATAAATGATAGCAAACAGTATATAAATGTCATTAATTTATAATTCAAATGCTTTATTTTAAATAAATTTTATTCTTATTTTACAATAACTTTTGCCATAATAAGAGGGTTTCGAGTTTGTTGATACAAAAAATTACACAAAAAAGTGAAACGAAAAATAAATATAAAATTTAAATGTTTGCGACAAAAACAATGGAAAACTTTGTTGTAATTCAATCTTGAATTGATTGGAGAAGAAAACTTCTTAAAAAATAATAACTTTTGTAAATCAAAAGCAAAAGAAAAAAGACTTATAATTTTCTGTTAAACAAAAAAATTGTAATCAAAATAATAAAAAATATATAAATAATTACACGAAAAATTCTTATATAAAATAATATATGTTCACATAAAATGAGACACAAATAACTCAATTCATTAAAGGACTAAAGTTTTGGGACAAAAATAAAGCTTTTGTCAAAAACACAGATTCTCTTATAAAAAACACAAGAGGGCCGGTAGTGCGAGGGGGCGGGTGGAAATGGATATCACTTATAAAATAATAAATAACTAATAAATTTACAAAAAACGCTAAAAAAGAGACAACTTTTTCTTAATATCAATACTAATGGTATCGTTTCCGACAATAAGTCGCAACCGTTTCGCGCTATTGAACGGGGAGTCCAGCGTATGGCCGGCCCTACTGTCGCTTAACGACTCCCTCTTCGACGACAGACCTCTTCGTTTGGATTTCTTTTTCTTCTTTTTCTTACTCCTATTCTTACGGCTATAGCTATAGTCTAAACCGTAACCGTCGGCCACCAGTGGGCCGGCAGTTGTCGTCGAACTACAGTCGCTGGCACTCGACGACGAGGCGGTCGTACCCGTTGAAGACGAGGGCATCACTTCGTATAGAATAGTACTTTTCGAGTCCAGCGAGCGGTCCGTTAGTATGGAGTCGTCGGCCGAGTCGTAAATATTGCTATTATTCGCCGATTTGTTTGAGTTTCGGTTACTATTAAGCGAATCGTTTTGACAGTTGTTTAGACGCCGCACACGAATAGTCAGTTTCAGGCAATTCGGTTGACCCGACAATTGGGACGACACCGGAGACGCCGTCGGTGGACAGACACCACTGCCAGAGTCCGACAGACGGGTCACTACCGAAGGCGCCACAGTTGATGGAGACTCAGACTCATCCGATTTGACGGACTCCGAGCCTATGGTTTGCGATAAAATAATTATAATTAAGGAAAATACGTTCAGAATTAAGGTAAAGATATTGTCGTTGAATAACAACTCGTTGTCAATACCTGTCGAAGCGATTCTTGTAGACCTTCTGAGCGATGACACACTTGATGGTGAGGCGAGCCTATGGCTAGTTGTGGTGGACTCCTGTTTGACAGGATTGGTTAGACCAACTCTGGTGGGCAGTTGTCTCGCCTGTTGTGGCGATGAAACCCTCAACGGAGAGGCACTTATAGTCTTACCATTGGTCGCACTCTTATGATTGTGATTGGACTTCAATTTACTTGTCATTAATTGCCTATTTTTAATCTTTGTGTGACTTTTAGCCACACTTTTACTCAATTTACGGCTCTTATGATCGTTGATATCGTCGGCGCAGTCCATGTTCTCGTCTTCGCTATGATTGTCTTCCATGAGTTGTTCGCAAATGGATGTGTTGTGAGTGATGTTGTCATCAGTGGCAGCGCTAATGCTTTTATTGGTATTTGATCTCAAGTTATGTGTCGTTGCGTTCAATTCACTTGTATTTACATTTAATTCGTCCTCTCGTTTGGTTTGCTATCAAATGGTTAATCAAGAAATAGAGCCAAATCTACACACTTTACAGGGCATACAGTAGTGAGCCCTCAAAGGAGGACATACCTGTTTGCGGGCCTGTCTTTTGAGACGATTGTCTGTTTCACGCAAACTATACGTCTGTTTCTTATTATTATTTAACACATTATTATGAATTAAACTGTTTGTCAAACAATTAATACTATTATTTGTAACACAATTGTTGATATTATTAATCTCATGAGCGTTGGCAGTGTTGGTGGTTAACTGTCTGTCCCCTCCACCAGCTCTCTGAGCGAAAGCTCCAGTTCCCCTGCGCTCGCAGGTCTCGCACTCGCAGTAACAGTTCTCGTCGCCGAAGAAGTCCTCGCCGTAGAAGCACGTGATCTCTTCGCCCACATCTATCGGTCGCAACACTTTCACACACGCCGTCTGCCTCCCGGTGCTCACGAACCGGCAGTTCGGCCGACAGTCGTGGTTGATGTAAGCGCCGGGACCTAACCAGAGTTGGGCACAATTCTTGCGACACGAATACATCACCGAAAAGTCGTTTATACCCGGCTTTAGGAGTTCCTGTTCTTCCTATTGTCGCACAACAACCGACACACACAACACATAAGCACAGGAATGGGAGGAAAGGGATGAGGAAAACAATTAATAAACAGTAAATTATGTGCCAAACAATTAAAATAGAGTTAATAACGAATTAAATCAAAAATATTTATAATTAAAATTAATCATTAATTAAAATGAGAGACTAATATACAGTAGTTCTCTGACTATCTAATGGGCGCCTACCTTTTGGGTCAGTTCCCCAATACAGCCGATAAGATATTCAATTTTCTCGTTTTTGAGCCACTTTTGAGTGGCGCACAGTTTGGCGCCCGTCTTGCCCTCCATTGAGTACCGATGACAGGGCCTGATCTCATAGCCGGCCCTCCCGTCAAACATCCGCAAGAAGTTTGTCAAATGGCTTCTTATGATTCGCTGCATTCGTTGGCTTTTGTTGCGATACCTAAACATAATTGACATTCAAATTTAGTCCATCATTACTGACAATTGCTGTGGTTTTTGGTTTTAAACAAAGCCATAGTTTGTGTTGAATTTGTAGGGAAACTAAATGCGGTCTCATTTAAACTCAATGGTCAACAAATCACAAGCAAATCAATTGATTGACGTATGGATTAGAGAAATGACAATACATTCAAAATATAACTTTCGGTAATTGAAAACTAATTGTAATTTTTGGTGCTTTTGGTGCTTATGGTGCTTATGGTGCTGGATCAATGTAAACATAAACTCTATTATACGTCAAATGAATCACACATTCGTGAGAAAGTTATCAAAACTATACAAAAACTAAATAAGACTTGAGTTTAGATATGATGGGGTCGGGAGGTGTGTGAGTGAGAAGGGGAACGGGATGTGTGAGTGTGTGGACTGACATAGTGTTGGCCCAATCGCCGCCAAACATCTTATTGATGGTGAGGTCGTAGTTCTGGTTCCTCTTGAAGGCGATCAACACGTTCTTCAAGTAGTCCTTCGGATGGATTTTGGGCGCACGAAACCTGTGGGGAACGGGAGGTATGGCACACACAGAGTGGACACACCGTTAGACACGAGTGACTGGTGAGGGCAATGGTATGTCATACAGACCTGGTGTTCATCTTGTGTGTCGTGAATCCCAAGTACTGGTCGACCGCCAGACTGGTGGCGATGTCGTCGGCTTCGCACAGCTCGAGGGCAGTCATGGGAGCGCCGGTAGCCGTGTTGGGCGTGGAGTACTCACCCCTGTCGGCCCCCCCTTTGTGGCGAGACATTGGCGACAAAGAGTACTGCAATTGTTGTGATGATTGTTATGACTCTTATTGTCAGTCAATAGTCAATGCAAACCAATGGCGGTGTTGTCTGTATGGAGACGACATCAATGATGTCAATGCAGTCAACACGAGATGCAAAGAGTTGTATTGAAAACTGTTACCAAAAACTGGTTACTAAAGACGTAATTGTTTGTCATTATTTGGGCTCACAAAGTGTTCAACCAGATTTTCACCACAAACCCGATTTGTGTTCAAAGTGCGCGCTTTTCAAATGTGCTATCAGTATTGCCAAATATACCATGCTCAATTTAAATTGTCGGGTAATCATATTTGATATATTTAACACACGTTTTCATAGATAATAGTTACGACTCGTGTTATCTAGTATCTAGTATTTGATGATTAATATGAATATAATGTGATACTGTATTACTGTATTACTGTATTACTGTATTACTGTATTACTGTATTACTGTATTACTGTATTACTGTATTACTGTATTACTGTATTACTGTATTACTGTATTACTGTATTAATACTGTACTAGCATACATAATGTAAGAATATAATCACATAATTCATTGATAAGAATTCATTTATTAATATAATGAGACATTTTTATACTAACTTACTACGATAAGTAGTAATAACTCATAATATAAAATACTCTAATCTACTATACCATGTTAATTTTTATATAACTCTTATTAACTTAAATGAACTGAGTTTGAAATAAATTATTGATATAACTAATTAGCAAGTACTGTAGCTAATTTGCAAGTATAAAGTTCTTGATCTAACACAATAATAAATAAGATGGGTATATAACGAGGGAATATTTATTACACATATATTTTTATCATTACCAAACATAATAATAAAATGTAAACATAAAATTTTTTTATTAAATTCATTTGTCACATAATTAAAACAAAATTATTAATTTTAAAAACGGTAAAAGTTTCACCTGTATCAAATATTATATTCTAACTGCAGCAAATTTTTTAAAATAGAAATTTTTCAGAATTTATTCACAAAATTATAATACTTTATAATAATAAATGTTATTTAAATGAGTCTACAATTATTTTATGATTAAATAAATCCTATTAAAATAAACTTTGCTTGCATTTAATCACACTAATTTATACAATAAATTTAATTAAAATTAAATTTAACAAATAAATAATTAATCGAAAGTATATTTTGTAAAACATTATAATTAATAAAATATTAAATGCTTTAAGTTTATTTATAAAATATAACTCTTAAAAACCAGTTTTGAATGACATTACAAAATAAATAAAAGCTTATTGTTAACAAAACATGTACTCTAACCAAGTTTTAAACAAATACAATCTAAGAGTATGAGATCTACACAACTATAACCACTATGTACTCTATTCACACACCGGGAGGACAGGTATCACACAGTATTTTTGTGTATTTTAATGAACAGTATATTTCAATGTTAAAAATTATGATTTCTATTTTTAATTTTGTAAAGAATTCAATTTTTATTTATTAATAATTTTAATATTCAAAACTATATAAATTATTATTAATATTTTTTATTTATTATTAAATTTAAATAAACCAAAATCCTTTTAAAACTTTTTAATTAAATGAGTTTGCTAATAATAAGTGTTTACAAACATCTGTGAAATTCTTAAGAGAGCGACAATTATTTATTACAAAAATATGTCATGTGATTTATTTGTGATCCTAACATCGAATCGTTGCAACTAGCACAAACTTGTACATTATTCATTTTTAAGCAGGAATAATATAAATTAATTTATTTTTCCTGAGATATAGTACTTTTAAAAAAATCTTAGAAATAAAACGCTAAATAAACTCAAATCAAGTGACGTGTGTTATTCAGTTATTTAAAACCTGAACTGGTGAATTAAAAATAATATTTGTTCTTGATATTGGTGTCGTTATGCCATCGCTAATATCGAAGTTACTGTTGCCCGAGTGGTCGTTCCCCTACAACTGCTACGAAGTGGGGCACACGTGGACACCGTACTGCTCGGAGGCGGCACTGGACGCCGCATTGTCCGTCTTCATGCAGTCCATCAAACTATACGCTCCTCTCTATGTATTGCAACACATTTTGTTCAGACGTGCCGTCAGTGCCAGGAGTTGTGGACAGACGGCCGGGTCGGCGCTCAGGTCCTCCATATTACTGTCGTTCACCGCCTTTTCAGTACTCATCCTATTCTGTGGAGTGCGGCGACTGAGCGGTCGCTTCTACTGGACTCTCACCGCATGGTTGCCCTCATTCCTCAGCTGCTGGCTATCCATTCTCATCGAGAGGTCTGTCCTTTTTTGTATTTCATTATAATTTATATTTATTGTATTAATATTATTGTGCATTAAATAATAAATGTACAATTAAGTCTTATTAAATTATTTAATATCTATTTTGGATGTTAAAGTTTTAAAAATAAAAATATTTCTGAAATACGGTACAGTATTTCAAAGAAAATAATTTCTAATTTCTATGTTTTAGATATATTATACTGTAAAGTCTTTGATTTAAAGGAAAATTATCAAATATAAAATAATCAGTTTGTTGAGTACAGTTTTGTGTGATTTCCTCATTAATTAGCTCTTTATTGAGAAATTTTTATTTTAGCAACTTACGTAAACAACCCGTGATTTTCAGTGAGTAAACTCCGTAAACAAACTAATGAAGGATTATTTGAGAGTTAAATAAAAATAGAGTTTTGAAATACTAACTGTAGTGACATTATGCAATGTTGTTCAAACTTTAAATTTTAATCAATTTTATGAGTTATTGCTAAATTTGATTTTCTAGAGAGTAGACTATTCAGACATAAATGAAAATAATTTTTCACATGAATAAATTAATTTATAAGTAAACACATAAATTCATAATTCAATATTTGTGTTAAATTTTTGTAGGCCTTCCCGGAGGAAAACGTTAGCCTTTTATTGTGCAAACATAGCGTCGGAAACGGTTTATAAGAATCTGGTGTCGAGTCAATACATTAAACCCATTCCTAATGGAGAGACCATATTATTCACAATATCCATATCAATACTGTTGTATATTATACGCATAAATGGTTACTCTAGTAGTGATCCCATCAATATTATATTGAAGACTATTTTGGGGGCAGAGGAGGCCGCCCCACCCCCACCACTACCTTTCCTAACAACTGGCAATATTAAGGCAACAAATAATAATTTAGGATTCAAAATTATTAGCTTTGAAAAAATTGATAGTATTTTAAATAAATATTTTTCAAAACATGACTCGTGTCCGCACCGGAACTCTTGTCTATCTTATAGTATCAGTGCCTTTGTTAAGGCTTTTTCTATGGGATGGTTAGCACAGACAGCACTTTTGTTATGGAGTCGTAAGGGTGTCATATCCTACCCCTCCAATTCTGTGTCTAATTATTCAACCATTAAAACAATGGTGACATCAATACCGGTCCTCAGGTTTGGTGTGTTTATCGGTGGCTTCAGTGCAGTCTTTAAAGCTGTTAATTGTCTGCTTCGGCGGTCATGTAATGGTAGTCATGATTGGCACGCATTCACTTCTGGTAAGGATTATCTTTGTTATTGTTAATTTAAGTTTTGATTTAGATTTAGATTTTAAATTATTATTTTTTAATTAAATTTAAATTAATTTTAATAAATGTAAATTAGGTACAGTACTTTGGTTCATATTGCAATAAATTTTATAAATAAGAATTACATAGTATTTTGCATGCTATCCGTGCATATAAAACTTTGTGAAATTATTATTAAATAGTCTACGCGTTCAATATATTGTTATTTATTTTAGTTTTAAAATTTTTTTATTGACTACAATATTTTGACCCCTTTTAATACTATAGAACACAATAGGAGTTTAATGACAAAAATAGACACAACAATAAGTAATATTTTGTCAATCACAGAGTTTGATTATACGTTTGAATTTACAAATTATGTGATTTATTTAGTACACTATGTAATTGAATGGCCATTAAAACACAATAGTTTACAATAGATTCGGGCACAATATAACTACAATTTAACTCCAAACAGACGTGTAATCCATTATATATTTTTATTTTTACTTTAAATGCCAATTCATATGAAAAATATAAAAAGCTTTTATTTTGAGAATATAATTATATTTATAGCTATTATTGGCATTTAAAAATCTTTTACCGTAGTATTTTTCATGTCTTATAAAATACAAAAATAAAGATTAACGTGTGGTTAGTATACATTATATTAGAGTGCTTAGTCATTACATTGTAAGTTTTGTATCTTTACATAAAATTATTATTCTTTTTCAGTTTAAATAAATATTGTGAATATTTTGTTGATGAATATGTTGTTGATTATATGTTTGACTATCGTATGATGGGTCACTCTGTTTCAAATCACTAACAATCAATATTTTAAAAGATATTGTATTTTATATATTAAATTATGTAAATTAGTCTAGATTGTGCTGGTCACGAAACATTCATTTAATGTTTTTCATTTTAATGTGCTTATATTTCTTACATTTGTGAGAATATTCTACCCCATAATTTATATTAAAATACTTTAATTTGCTACAATTATAAAAAAATTAATTTTTCTCATTTTAATAAGAATTCTAAATTAATTCATATTTTATATTTAAACACTTTAAAATAATTGAAGTTACAATTACTGAATTAGAAAATGATAATATATTTTATTGTTTATTTTATTCTAACTTCAATTTTTAAGACAAAAAGGACTTTTAAGGACTTGTATACACCTTTGGTTTTATTGAACCATTTATACACTCTTTAATACAGCGCTGTATGCACTCGGATACTATTAAAGTGCTTTTATACACTCTTAAAACTGTTTTTTATACACAGTCTTAATACAGGTATTCTACTTAAAACTAGACTTTAAAATATACAAAGATTTTCTGATTATTGAATATATAAATAATATTAAAACACGATGTATATAAAAATGTCAAAAGTCATAATCTTCATTTATTAAATATATTAAATGTTAATGCCATAATCCTACAATTAATTTATA